AATACAATCAAGTAGTAACACGCACACAAACTGCTGTTGCGAGCATAGCGGAGCGAAACGGTTAACTTAGGAACAATCTCGTTTGTTTTTCTATTATTTGGGAGCGGAGCGGGCAACGATTCTGTGGACATTTTTAGGTCCACTTTCGCCAGTAGGCTGCTCTGTATGCCCATTCCACCCTAAACAAAACTTACCCAGAGTGTTTCAGAACCTTCTCGAACCTTTTCTTTTTGAAAGAATGCATTCAAAGGTTGAGGTAGAATGGTATTGCATAAATCATGATTAATACTTCTTAACAACACGTCAGATGTGCGTCGCTACCACACGTCTGTTCCAAATGACGCCACATTATACGTTCCTAATCCAGTTACTTTTATAACTGTTTAAAAACAGATTGCCCTCAAAGAAAACCTAGTACCGTATAGGAACGGTAGTGCCTCTTAACCTCATTAGCCGAAATGGATGGAATCAACTTCACTTTATCTGCCCGCACCTATAATATTGATTATGAAATTAAATTGTTCTAAACTATTACATCTAACCTAATCAAACTTGCTGTAACATTTCAAAATACGGTTTCAGATAGTAGAATTCTGAAATTTAGGCTAACTGTTCTTAACTAACCTAACCTAACCAAACTGTCTGTAGCATTTCAAAAATTGGCCCTTTTGATAACAGAAATGGCTTTCGCGCTCAATTGACTGTTCTAGAACGTTTAATCCTTATCTTAATATGCGCGTCTTTTGCTTCAAAATAGACAAATTTTAAAGGATCCTCCATCTTTGCAGAAATTTAATGTGAGTGAGTAGGTAAGTAATTCATAATGGGGTCTAGAGTAACTGTTTTTTTTTCATTATGTTGCAATACTGGAACGGGAAGGGGTTGTGACGTAATTTTGACATGTGAATAGTCACTTTGTAATGTTTTAAGCCAAGTCTTTTGCCACGGCCACCTTTAACTTGTCTAGCGCCAAACATCGCATAAGATAACATGGCAAACAGGTGACACCAGCTCATTAATTTGCATACTATCCATTTAAATTTAAATTTAAGAACATAAATGTATTCAAAGATTGAAAATAAAACATAGAGAATTGAAGACCAAAACAAGATTTAAAAATCTAAAACATATTTTTGTACATTTAAAAGGGGAGTCCATATTTTCATAGCCCAGTACCGGTAAGCAAGTTATCATATTATTAACAAATACACAAATACTATTAGCTGCCTCAAAAAACAAAACAGCTGTTACAAGCCTACTTGCGATGTTGCCACTTCTAAGGCCGCGGCCTTTTTGCTGTGCTGCAAATTGCTGCAAACTTGCTTTGTGATGGTATCTTGGAAATGATCGAGCTCCCGTTCGTGTCGCCCTCGCTTAAGTCGCTGCATGTGTCCGACATCAGTCGCTCACACTCTCGACCTACAGCCCGCCTGCTCCGCTCTGAATTGCTGTAGCCTATGTGTTTTTTTACCCTAAGACATATTAGGTATAGAAGCACAATTAATTGGACATAAGCTATCTAGATCCTAACATTTATAGGTACGGTACTACAATTCAAAATGGCCTTGATTTACGCAATATCGTAGCCTTAAATGGTATCTTCATTACGCAATTGGCTATTATTAAAAATTGAAAATAGGGCACTGCATTGGAGTTGCTTATTTGGATAAACCCAAGCAAAAAATTGCCAACTACGACTTGGCTTATTTTCTAACTCTGTCGACTATTAGGCCCCTACAGGCCTAGGCCTAACTAAGTAAAATTAGGTTGAAACATGTATTCATGGTGATACTCCAAAGTCAATTAAAAACCAAGAAGTACATGCCTAGGAGTAAAGTTTGGCAGAGAACCTGTGATGTATTAATATTGTTTTAAATATAAATAAATTGAGGCCTGTATCGATTTTGATTCGGTTCGATACATAAGAAGCTATCGTTTCCACAATATAATTTTGTTATTTGAATGTGTGTCGAATCGAGCTAAATTATTGATTTTCAGTAAATGAAATTATCAATACAATGCAAGTATTGATAAAAATGCAAGCATTTTTGAAAAGGTAATTTGAAGTGTTTTTCTCAAGATTTTAATTTTACAAAAACAGTATGCAGGCGACATAAACTAACAACTCGATACATTATAACCTAAACTTTACCTTCCTAATCTAACCTAACTTCAAAACACTTAATGCAGTCACCAATTCGCATAAAGCACGACCTACAACCCTGACATGCCTAAATGAGAACTGTAATTTTACAGTTGCTTGTCGTGTGGTTGAAAACAGTCAGCTGTAGGCTTAGTTAACCCACAGTTCATTCCACTTGTAAATGTTATCCATCCTACCTTGTTTATTGTAATGTTGTATATTTCTACGGCTATATCTTGAGAAATATTCATCAGCAGTGGAAAATAATAGTAGGCTATATTTGGATTCAGGAGGTAAAAAATTATAAAGTAAGATATCAAAATTAAAAATTCGTTTGGAGGCACCTATACGGAATAAATACGTATCGTTTGGTTACTTAGGTAGGTAAGGTTAACCTAACCTAACTAACCAAACAATATATCGAATTAAACAATCGAATAATCAATAGGCCTATTAGCCTACTCATTCGGTTATTTGTGCCAACAGATATGGAAGTTTACCCACACAGGCTGCTATTCTTGTCTTAAGTACAGTAATTTAATTAGCTTACTGTTTTCTAGAAGCGGAGCGACACACATTCTTATTCGCTTTTCCGCAATCCGGGCCGAGAAAAACCTAGCTTAAGTTAAGGCCCAGAGATATAGGCTACCTACCTATCTAAGTTAAAGGCAAGAAGAAATTTATCTATATAAGGCCTAGGTCCTTAAGCTTAAGTTAATTGGACTGTAGAATAGGCCTAGGCTATTAGCCTACCTTTGATTGTACGCTACCCGAACACGAACGTTGTCAGTTTTGATAGGGCACACTCTTGTCAGTTTAAAATGGGCCAACACTTGAAAGATCATATCTCAACAATGACAATTAATTTTTAAACAACACAGTAATATATTTCCTTAATCCTTCCTTGCCAATGGCCATGAATCCCTCAGATTTTCATGGTTAATGCATCGAGCCTCTTTAACCTGGATCTAGTCTTTTAGTTGCGATTGACGACTGTAGTATCACAAACTACACTTCAAAGTGTAACCATAACACCCTAACTACTACAATTAATTACTTTATTACTATTTAACTAACGGTGTTAACATCAACATAAAACTCAGCTCAGCAGACAGCACCCAACAACACGAACACACAATCACGAATCACAACACATTCAACACAATCCAATCGACGACGACGAGTCGACGACGATAAACAAATTTTGAAAAAAGTGACTCTTTAAAAAAAAAATAGTAATAATTAGGCTGATATTATTCAAGCCTACTGAACAAACAATCATAACAACATGTAACTACCTAAATAATTTTATCGAATGTAAGTTAATAAATTTCTGTGGATATTTTTAAATCCGATATTTATTTCCACATAGTTATAAGTTAGTGTAAAGCGTTCTTATGCGTAAAACTGTTTACTCCATGGATGAAAGAAATAATAGACAATTTGGTCTCTTTGTCTAAAGCAAGAAGCAAAATAACAAAATTGTTGCTCGTAAAATGTAAACAAAACAAAAGAAGAAGAAGGTAGCTCCTAATGTTATTCTTATGGGGGAAAATTAAAATGGTTTTTTTAGGATTAAATAGTAATTACTGAACAAATATGCTCCAAAAACGATCCCCGGCATGATATTATACTATAGAATCTTTGTGCAAAACATCAAGTTGATAGATGTAATCGTTCTCGAGTTTTTGTAATCCATAGAGATGCTTTTCGTACCAGTATGAGAATTCACTTCGTTCATTCAATTAACTGAAATGAATGTAAAACTAATATTCTTCAATTTAAACTCAGAAACAGAGTTACAGACACCACAATCAGTAATAGAAAAATTGTTAAGTTTCTAGGTATAAATTTAGACTCAAAATTAAGTTGGTCAGACCACATTCATCATCTAAATAAAAAATTAAGGTCAACAAGCATTACTAAGTGTACTTTCCAAGGTCACGCTGCTAGAAGTCTGCTTGACAGTATATCATGCATAGGTATGTTCATTCTTTGTTGGCTTAAGGCGTCACTCTATGGGGTAACTCTGCAGAGGCCAAAAAAGTGTTCACTTGCCAAAAGTCAATTCTCAGAACTATTTTTCACCAGAAGTCTAAAAAAAGCTGTAAACCTTTTTTCAAAAAACATTTTATTTTAACATTACCATCTCTTTATATATTTGAAATAGCAAAGTATGTTCATGCAAATCCTTTCTTTTATGAAAAATATAAAATAAATCCTAACTATCAAACGAGAAATAATAACAAAACTTTTCAATATCCCAAACATTCGCACACAAAATTTGAAACTGGGCCTCTTTACATGGGATTAAAAATCTACAATCATTTACCTAATTCATACAGAACTTCATCAAAATCAAATTTTACATATAAGCTGAAAGAGACTTTGAGCCAGAAAGCGTATTATAAAATTCAGACGTTTTTTAAAGATAAATTTTAATAGTTTTTACTCTTGTTAGGGTATAATTAGATTAAGGAACCTAGATATAAATTAGATATAAATTGACCATGTACCAGCTTGGGAATTACTTTTGTAATTATTTTATCAGGCGTCATGTACAATAAAGCTTTGTCTATTGTCTATTCCCTATAGGGGAAATTCGCTAAAACATGGTTAAATAATAATTAAATAGGCTAACCATAGAGGTTGAACATTAATATTAGCCATCTTGAACTGTACATTGCATATTGATATAGATAAGTTTGTAAAAAAATACCACCACATCAAACAAAATGGAATGTCCGTTGAAATAAAATAAAATAAAATTGGTCATTATATCATATGTAGCCTAGCCTAATAAAAATTAGTCTAAAATTTTGCCTGCTGTGATTAGCCTGAAGGGATGTTTTTGTAGATTTAAGGAGGATGGAGAAATCAAATATCTTGAAGGAGCTAAGGAACTTAAAAGCTTGGAGAGAAGTACTCTTGAAGTGAGTTTTGAAGATATAGAAAAATACAACCAAAGTCTGTCCACTACCATAATTGAGGAATATTTCAGGTAGGCTTTTAAATTAGATATAGCCTAGTATTTTTAACCGACTTCCCCACTACCAACAAAAGGAGGAGGTTCTCAATTTGTTTGTGGCGATGTTTTTTTTTTCTATGTATGTTCACCAATTTCTCTGTGATTCTTTTACCGATCAGTGTGGTTCCACCACCAAAATAACCAGGAGAGTTTCTATTTGGTACCTTATATATTATGTTTAAGTATAATATTTGTTTCGGTGAAAAATTCTGAAAACCTTAAATATTCAACATCTATTTTGTTTACATTTGTGCAGATTGTTTACATTTGTGCAGAGAAGGCAATAAATAATAATAACATTCCTACAGCTGTTAGTTGAAACCATTTAAATTAAGCTACAGACAATTCTTCATGAAACAGTTGCTTCATATGGATCAATAAACCATTTCTTGACATGGAGCCTAAATGAATTGCATTGAGAAAAATGCATTTTGTTTTGGTAACTATAAAAAATGTATTTTAAAGTTTGACCTGATTTGTGTATACAGTAATTCTGTTTTTAGTATTGAACTAGCTGTACCCGCGGGCTTTGCCCCGCTTAACTTCATAAGTATTCGCATGGCTCAATCACGTCCTGGTTGAAGTTCGTTCGCTACGCTCACTCACCTTCAGGTTGGAAATCGTTCGCTGCGCTCACTTGTTTTCAGGTTAGCTCGTTCGCTACGCTTACTCGCCTCCAGGTTGATGTTCGTTCGCTACGCTCACTCACCTTTTGGTTGCAAATTAGCTGTTGTCATAAATGTAAAAAAGTCATCCCTTCTATTGTTTATAATACAGTACTTTGATAAAGGTTTTTATGTTTTAATATTTAACATTGGAGAATTTAAACGTTGTTAAGTGCACAGGTGTGCTGCGATTGGGGTTTAATACATTTGGATTTATTTAAAAGTAAAATAGTTTTCTGTGCTGCAATCTGCAGAAACACTGTGGCACTACTTCAAATCATGACTAATGCTAATACAAATTGTTGTGATTATTCAAACCTACAAAACAGTTGATGAAAGTAAACAGCTGCTTTTAAATTATAATTACTAGAGGTCGTCCAGTGGTCGAAACTCGACCAAAAATATGTAATGTACTCACTTCTCTATTTTCACCCCCACACTGTAAATAAAACATGTGATTGGAGTTTCTTCCATTTGTTTTGATTTCTTGTTTATATTTCGTTGTTATTTCGTCACCAGCATGGCAACGCATAAGATCCATGTTAATTTTTTCAAATCTTTAAACTCATTTTTTGTGCTTATCTTTGAGCCTATTTAAATTTATAAATGGATTCTGCACACCTACACGAAAATAGCTTTCTAACGGTTTGCGTAGATTTTCCCTACGATGCACACAAGCTGAGAAAAAAGGTTTTAAAGAAACATGCTTGCCTATTAATATATAGATAGATTTGTAAACATTGTATATCAAAAAGTCTGACATTGGCCCACTTAAAACCCTCTGGGGCATAGCCCTTATGACGGATCTGCACCAAACTTCACTCGAACCATCCTTGAAAGATGCTTAATAATGCCTGAAAGTTTCATTACAATCTGTCGAGTGGTTTCGGAGTCCATAACGTATATACACACACACATACATACATACATACATAGTTCCTCTTTTATAGATATAGATATTCTGACTTACAAAAACATATTATGTTTCAGTGAATAGCTGTATGATATTGACAAATAAAGGTGTATTGTGAAAACCAAAGCATTCGTAAAACAGGTCTAAATATAAATTAAATGCAATTATTCCTTGAAATGAATGAAAAATACTTTATTCCATCAAAGCACAAAAATTGTTACACATGGTTGTACACACAGATGGATTATTCCCCACATAGGCACAGCCTGTGTGTGGGGAATGAGCTTCACCAGTAGTCAACATACAATTTGATATAAAATGTAATTAATAACTAAAATTATTATTCTACATACATTTTGAAGGAGTTACCAATGAAGGACCTTACACGACCTAAGAAGTGTGACAGTGCATAATCGTCAATTGTCTTAAAAGTGTTAAATATTTTAATTACTAAACATGCATTTGCAGATGTGGAATGTTTATTGATATTTTTTACCCATATCATATCAATACTATTATGCCTGCTTCGGAAAGGCCTAGAGGAAGATGATTTGCAATTTCGACTAGGCTATATCTTGAGCAAATAAAACCACCTACATGGCTTGCACCACTTTAAGCTGAACCAATCTTTCCTATACATATTTCATTTGCAGATGTGGAATGTTTATTAATATTCTCTACCCAGTTACTATAACATATCAATACTATTATGCCTGCTTCGGAAAGTCCTAGAGGAAGATGATTTGCAATTTTGGCTAGGCTATATCTTGAGCAAACAAAACCCCCTACATGACTTACACCACTTTTAGCTGAACCAATCTTTCATATAATATTTTCCAAAGGTACTATACGCGTTAACGACCAATTTTCCACTTTTGAGAGATTTTTTAGTGCTGGTAGCTGAGGAATAGCTTTCATATTGTTCCAAAAGGCTTGAGACGTTACTGTATTTCTTTTTATAATGTAGAAGTACACCGATTGCAGGAAACGATGATGTCTGATATTTCAATGTATCTAGAAAAGACAATTAGTTTTTCATTAGGCCTAATGTAATGGCCAACTCTTTCTTTCTTAAGGAATATCTAAAAATCTTTATTTTCATACCCATTGATTACGTAACCTGAACAGGTGACTCAAGCAGTTTTAAAATAATGATTGTTCTGTGGAACTTTTGATTGTTTCAAACAGTTTTGCTTATCAACAAACCTCAAGTAATTAATATATAAAAAGTTATACAGTCACTAAAAATCATGAAATAATATATTTTTGTAAAAAAATACAACCGACTTCAAACGCTCTAAAAAGAATGAAATAATTTCAATAAAGTAAACTTTTGTATTAGGCAAGCTCACGTATTTCAAGTCGGCGCGGCTCAAACTGCAAATATGATTGAAATTAAATATTGTGTACGTGTTTTGAAAATCAATAAATTGTAGCTGGATAACATAAATAAAAAACATACTGAACTGTTTTATATATATATTAAGGAAATGTTTTCTTGCATTTTATGTTTACTTCAGAATTAATGCATTATGAAAATAACACATACAAATGTTCTATATTAATAGGAAAATAATTTAGTTTGATAATATGATAGGGAAAAGAAGCTAGTTTAGTATTAAAACGTTACTTTTCCAAGTTAGAAACATTTAAATGCGGTTATAATCTTTTTAAAGATACTCGTTAATACCACTATATTGCCGATCTCTGATTACGGTAATAAAATAACACTTAACGCATAAGACATGTAGATTAACACCTTTAGTTATAGATAGTCACCTGCAATATGAACACCCTCTTTCAATTTTGTATCAAAAATCATCATAGAGCCGCGCCGACTTAAAATACGTGAGCTCGACTAATACAAAAGTTTACTTTATTGAAATTATTTCATTCTTTTTAGAGCGTTTGAAGTCGGTTGTATTTTTTTACAAAAATATATTATTATATTTATTGTGTCTTATGAAATAGTTTCTTCCCTTACAAAACACTGGATTACCCTGTTAATATTTTGATTTTGTATACCGGTATCCAAATAATCACTTCATAAATAAATAAGCTAATCCAAATAACCCATGGTAGGCCTACTGTGTATTTTTATTCAGTAACATGTAGTTTAAAATGGCTTCAGTTTGATCTAATAGAAGTGATTCTTGATGCAATTTGACTTAGACCTACAAAGGGATTTTGAGTTAAATCTAATAATAAATTAAAATGTTTGTTGAGTGAAAGGGATAACAGTGTGAAGGAAGGCCCACTTTATTGCTTTTGGGACCTGTTTAAAACTTAGTAAAAAAGAAATTAAAATCCTTTTAAATGAAAACCCTTTATTTTAATATCTGTAAATATCATCATGAAATATCTGTAATGTCCTAATTTAAATAACTTATTAAAAACTCTTAATAACAACGTAACTTTAAAAGCAATCAACATCTATAGCCTATATTTAATAAATTACGCAACATGGAAACTTTGTTCCCGATAAGGTTTTTTTTTTATTTTTAGACTTAACAGGAAGAAATGTAAAATACCTTTGATTAGATTTGTTTGTTTAGCCTACTTTTCTAATTTAAAATTTAGAATGCCCAGATATTTCATTTGCATTTCCACTAAAACCAATTCTTCCTTCATTTAAAATATAAATTGCAGATGGGTGTGTATTTTAATGAACATATGAAAACATAAAGAACTGATGAGAAGAATTTGGTTTAGAGAAGAGAATCCATTAAACCTATCCAGTTTCCTTTTAAAAAAAACAATAAGGAATGTCACAGGCCAAGAGGGCGTGATGGATGCAAAAGCAAATTTTAAAGAGGAAATGAGAAACTCATTTACCAAATAACAAAAATATATATTGACTAGGCCTATACACTTTAGTGAGTCTAGGATGACCATCCTCTCAGCAAATTGATACTCAGCGAATTGGTGAGTCTCGGTGGCTCAGTTGGTAGCGTCACGGACTTCGGGCCCAAGGCAGCGAAGTCATGGTTTCAGATCCTGATCACCGCCGCAAACATTTTATCAGTATAGTTCACCTTCGTACTGTACCGGCTCACCCCTTGTTTTGTTGGATACGTTCCATGCACAGATCTATCTAGTCTATGTGGACGGGCAAATGTAAAGTTAAAAGAGGTTGCTAACCTCTTTAAAAAAACCAACTGGGAAAACTAAGAACTAAACTTGGAATTTTGATGACTAGGAAAAGAGCTGGTAATTGTACGTATATTTTGCATGGGAACAGAAATAAAAGGTTACAATAATGCCCAATTCAATCGGCCACAAATCGCTGATTGTTATATTTTCAAGTTGTCTTGTCACGCAATTCACTAGGTAAATGACCCTGATATATTCGTGCTCACGATACATGATAATATCGTTAACGTTATAACGGGAATTTCTTGATACTATGTTTAAAAGAGAATTTTGGTTGAACGAGGCAATGACACACTGCTATCCAGTACTGTATCTGCAAATAATCTGTATCTGTGTTGTTTTAATATGGTTTTTTTTAATCTGTCAGTTAACATCTGCAAAAGGGGTATTCTGAGTCCAACAAATATTTCAAAATTATCACAGAATTAGCTTAGACAATTTAAAGTGATGATAATGTATTAAACAATTGAAGAAAATATAAGAATTGACTAGAGCATTCATATACATTTAATTCAGTTTAAACCTTGCACATTAACGATGTTGCTTTTCACAGAATATACCCCTACCTGTGCCAAGCCGTGTGCAACTTTGCCAAGGACAGAGGTGAGGCAAAACCTGACAGGGAGTATTACGTCAGCTTTGTTGATGTTCCAACTCGACACAAGGTCCGAGAGCTAACCACTACAAAGATTGGAACCCTCGTACGCATCTCTGGACAAGTAGTGCGTACCCATCCCGTTCACCCTGAGCTGGTACTGGGGACCTTTTTGTGTCTTGACTGCCAGACTGTCGTCAAAGATGTTGAACAGCAGTTTAAGGTAGGCTTTGTAAAGCTATTATTGTATTAAAAAAATAAATCTATTGGTTACAAACTAAAACCAGTGTGTTAGTCACAGTAGCTCCAGTACTTGAACGACTAACACATGTAGTTTAGCAATACATTTATTGGTACTTTGGTATTATTCCGACCACACCTAATAATTATAACCTAACCCAAGGGTGTGCTATGTTTTAGGTTATTTTAGGTTAGGTTAGGAAGACTTTGTTATATAAACTAATTAAAATCTTACAAAGTTACACACCTCATCTCACACCATTCTACACTCATCCTTCACTCATATTTTTATTAAGTAAAATACTAGCTGGCGTTCCCATCTTAATTGGTAATGGTAATATGTTGGCGTAGGAAAATGAACGCAATCATGGGAGATGATCTTGCGTTTTTTTGCCGCTATTTGTAAGTTATTTACTATATTTCAGCGATCACGGAAGAAAACCAAAATCATGGACTTGCCAAAATTGCAGGACAGATCATGATATTACTGTGATTAAGGGAACAAAATATGGCCATTTGCGGTTTAAAAATATACTACTTTAATTTTTTTATGCAGTTCAACTGCATTTCCAGCTAGGCCTAAGGTAATCCGAACAGAGTCTGGTCCCTATTAGTCATGTATTTTGAAGAAGCTCAACTCATAATAAATGCTTTCTGTCTATGTTTTAGTACACTCAACCAACAATCTGCCGCAACCCTGTGTGCCAGAACAGGCGAAGATTCATGCTTGAGGTTGACAAATCAGTGTTTGTGGATTTCCAGAAAGTTCGTATTCAAGAGACTCAGGCTGAACTGCCTAGGGGATGCATTCCTAGGAGGTAAGTTAATTCAGTTGACATTTAACAATTCATAGTTTTGTATCAACTGATTACTAGTTGCTCTGCCCGTGCTTCACTACGGGGTGAGAATGCAAAAGAGAACAATACCTTTTAAGATACTATAATCTACTATAAGAAACAGTTACAACACACTTACCAGGAAACATAAATGCAAAGGCTTAATCGTGCTTATTGATTACCGGTATTTAAATGAAGATCTCTTAATGTATTACAGTACTATCATTTTATATAGTGTATAGCATTTAAAATATATTCAAAAGTATAATTCATTGACCACATGGCACCATGAAACAATTCTCCTTGTAAACAAATTAAATCAAATAGCAGAACAGCATTTCTGACAACAGCTGGAGTTTCATAACAATGTTTGTTTCCCATGTTAATCTTATGGAGAAATACGAAACTTTAAAGGGCCCCAGGGCCTCACTCTCTAATTATTTTCCTAAAAAGAAAGTTTCCTGCACAACTTCATGTTACGCTCTTTCCAATGACACCAAAAACATGTCAATCGGTTCGGCAGTTTCGGAGGAGTAATTGTCACAAAAAACCTGCTTGCGTATTAAATAAGTACGAGAGCACGCCCCGTGGTCGAAAAATCGACCAAAAGTATGTTTTGTGCAAGCTTTTCTCTATTTTCACCCCACACTGTAAATAAAACATGTGATTGGAATGTCTTCCATTTGTTTTGATTTTCTGTTTATATTTTGTTGTTATTTCGTCATCACCATAGCAACCCATAAGACCCGTGTTAATTTTTTAAAATTTCAAATTCATTTTTTGTGTTTATTTTTGAGCCTATGTTAATTTATAAAGGGATTCTGCACACCTCGGGGAAAACAGCTTTCTAACGGTATGCGTAGATTTTACCTACGATGCACACGAGCTGAGAAAAAAGGTTTTAAAGAAACATGCTTGCCTATTAATATATAGATAGATAGATAGATTATTTTTTGTCAGTCATTATTGCCATTGACTTTGTTTAGTGTTTGTTACTTTTTATAATTTTATTAAGAAGGCCTACATTGAGTATTACTTGCATGTAAATTAGTCATAGTCCTGATAATTTCTAATTAGTTAGATAGATAGATAGGCCTAGTGCTTATTGATGAGTATTTAAAATAGTATTTTGTATTATTTTATACAGGGTGTCCCCAAACTCTCTACCAATATTTTAGAGCATTGTTCCTGGGTATGAATCATATATAAATATAATATTTAAATTGTCAGGAAGTCCTCAGTTACTCACACAGCCGCCGTTTTGTTTTTTTCACTTATTCATTTTTTTTCTAAAAAGTGGTAAAACATACAAAATTGAAACTGCACAAACATTTATGACAATTAGACAAAGCTACAAAAAATTATGACCATTTTCCTAATTCATAAAACAAAATGGCGGCCATTGATATTTTTGTTTCTTAACCCTCCGAGCGTCATTCGTCGAAAAATCGACGCACGACACACTTTGTATAGTGTCACGCGTCGATTTTTCGACGCACGAACATCGTTTACGGCGAAGGCTCTATGACTGACTGAATCGGATTGAACTGGATCGAGTTAGGTACCGTTCTTTTCGTTATATTCTAAGCTTTCTCCAGAGGTCTGTCTCTAAGCGCTTTATGTTCTCCGAGCCGATCGTAATTGTAGCAGACAGCTGACGTGCGTATTTGTAAACAGCTAGGTTACCCTCGGACCGATGACTGATGTGTTTTATTACGTTTATCATTGTTTTAGTGTTAAAAATCAAAAGTAGTGATATACGTGGTGCATTATAAGAAGATTTAAGTGATTTTGAAGGGCTGGTTGATGATCCTGAAGAAGTAGGTAGTGATATTGATGTAAATTATCAGCCAGATTCCTAGCTATGGTTAGGCTATGCATTCTTAGCTAAACCCTATGTACTGAAATCTGTTTTTTGCCCATAACTTATTTATTTGCAAATCTACTTCCTTATATTATTTATATATTTGTAATCCTCATAAAATTTAGAACAAAGTGGCTATTTTCAAATATTTATAGGCCTATAATTTATACAATTTCATTGAGCGCAAACTTATTTTTTTTTTTGAAAATTTTCCAAAATATTTTTTTTTTACCTAAAAATTTTTTTTGAAACAAATATTCCTTATGTTTTATGTATAATATTGAAGCCCATTATTTTCCAAACAAAATGGTATATAGAACAGTAGAATTAACATTGTTTTAAGCTTCTCAGATCCGTTTTAATAAAACCTTGCAAATGCGCCAAAAATAGGCGGACATTAAGGCCTAAACTATGGACACTCGGAGGGTTAAATAACTGTTGATTTTACAATAACTTTTTTAATGCAATTTGATTAAAAATAGATTAACTCGTTATTTTTTAAGATTAGACGAATATTAACTGAGATATGGCAGCTTTAGTTACTTGTGACCACATGCCTCGTCATCCTCTGTCACTAACCTCCAGCGGTCACATATCACTATAACTGTGTGTAAGCATTGTACTATTAAGCTTTTTTAATAGTACTTTATAAGGCCATTAAATCATGTTCCATTGTGAATGTTTAGTAAGTACTTACCTGATTTTCTGGAAATGCTTCTAATCTCCAAAAGCTTATTTAAAGTAAACCTTAGACCAAAGCAAATGTTACTGAATGTGCCAGATTAGTAGATTTACTGTAACAATAATAACAAATTCCAGCGTTGAGGTGATTCTCCGAGCAGAGACGGTGGAGACAGTCCAGGCGGGGGATCGCTATGACTTTACCGGGACATTGGTGGTGGTACCAGATGTCGGTGCTCTGGCCATGCCCGGGGCTCGGGCTGAGAGTGGCTCCCACCACAAACCTGGCGAGACAAATGTGGAGGGTGTGAGGGGCCTGAAGGCTCTTGGTGTCCGAGACCTCAACTACCGCATGGCCTTCCTAGCATGCAGCGTCACGCCTACCAACCCTAGGGTGAGGCAACTGTAAATATTCAAATACTGTAGTTATAACAGCGGAGTAGCTGAGTGAATAGTTTTCTTGCCCAGTAATCCAAAGTATTCCCATTCATTCCTGACTAAAGTCAATTGATTTGATTTTACTACTTTACACACTCATACGCTCATACACATCAATCGACCATGCCATCATCACAAGGCATGAAGCTATCTAGCTATGTGTACGTTCTGATAGATGTTTAACCCTTTATTGCCACAGATCGGCCTTATGATATGTTGTGAAGAGCCCCGGGCCAATCTCATTGGCCTAAACAATGTACTCTAAGTCCGCCACGGGCCGACCACATTGGCCCTGCAATGTTGAGCAAAAACCGCCACGGGCTGATCAGATCGGCTCGGCGTATTTTTGTTGTTGTGCTGTTATTTTTACTAATACAGGGTGTCTACCAACCGGGAAATCCGGGAAAACCGGGAATTGTACTTAATTTTTTACTGGCCATGAAATGTACGGGAATTGTCCTTAAATGCCAGACTATGTCCTTAAATTTTTAATGGGTCATAATTTTATTGATCGCTAGTTGGTTAGGAGCACATAAAAGGTTTATCAGATGTTTGTTTACATTTTCATAATTTATTACTAGAGTAATTATGCAATAAAAATCCCATTAACAATCTCAAACCCATTAATATTTTATCACGACAATCAAGTGTCAAGTCAAGTACTTCCAAGAACTGTTGACTCAGTTAGCTAGCTCATAAAAGTTGTATCACTTTTATTCCTTTACAACTTCTGTTTTTATTACTAGGGCTTATTATGAGATTATATTATGAGGAATTATTATGAGATCCCAAACCTATTTTATCGTGAAAATAATAGCTTTATAATGGCTGATTTTGCCGCTGCCATTGCCTAGTGCCATAAAACTGTTTATGGTTTCATATTAAACATGTAAATAATCTACAGTCTTATTTTGTAAGTTAACCCCTTTTTTATGGATGTTTTATCTTTCAATTGACAAAACTACAAGCATTGTTATTTGCATGAATGTTTTATCACTATGTAGGCCTTCTTGGTTTCAAATTATGTCATTGCATTTTCTGTATCTTTGTCTTATATTGTTGGCTATTCAGGTTTAAATGTTTTTTGTTTCCCATATATTTATTTGTTGAGTTGTATGCTTTAAGCAATCTAAATCTTAAGAACTAGAATGATGATAGTGACTTTGCTGCTATTATAACCTCATTGTTTGTTACTCAGTTTATTTAGGCCCTCCTAAATAATTAGGCCTAGGCCTGGGTATTTTGATTCTTGAAAGTGCTGTAAAATATATTAAGAAAATGTAATTGAGCCTAGATAAACAACTAATGATTGCTATGTGTCGATATTAACTTTGCAAATGAAAATACAATAATCTTACTCTGTGCTTATTGCTTATTGGTAGCCGCTTACCATACCTTGATTTTGTACTAAGAACTGAGCAACAATATGCATTAAAGAGATTGCGTTTCTCTGTTACACTATAAAAGTTTTACCTAAAGTATAGGTAGGCCTATGCTTGTTTACTGTCAATAAATTTCTATTTTGAAATTTTTAACTCTTAGGCTATCTATTATTATTTACTCTTCTATCTGGTACAACTACAGTTAATAACAAGATTAATACAGTTTGACCAATCAGGAAAATTATTCGGTAGGCCTAATGACACCGACAAAGGTTACGCCAAAGTGCCCTTAAATGTACGGGAATTGTCCATGAATTTTTTATCCAGAATGTAGTAGACACCCTGTATACTCGTAAACTTCATATTACTATAAAGTAATATGAACATGCCTATATCTAGTAATACACCACAAATGCTTAACGGACACGGAAATCGGGACGTAGGCAGGGGAGGGATTGTGTTCGAAGGCCCCGGCTTTTAGGGCAAAGGAACAATCAGATTCCGACAGTAGTGAATGGGAGGAGGTAGAAGATGGTAATGATCCTGGATTTCCTGCCATATTAAAATTGTCTGAATTGTCTGCGCCAAAACACTGGCCGCCCCGGAACTCACGTCCTTTGTCATATTTTTATTTGTTTTTTACAAATGTCATTTTCAGATTTATATCTGGCCCCCTTGTAACAATAAAACTGATAACAGTACAAATAAATGTCATAAATTGCCATTGTTTATCTTAGAATATTATGTAAGTAATAATATTTTGCCCTATTAGGAGACTATTGGATTTGAACCAAACAGTTTATTCCTAACTAAATACCAAGTTATTTAGATCAATCCTCTACACTTGTGGGGTTGTTAAGAACCGTCATAAACACATAAGGGTCACAAAAAAATGTTATAAGTTTTGCCTAGTGATAATAATGAATTGTTTACTATATTGTTGTCAGCAGATGGAGTCATGTTAATACAAATTGTGTCTGTTTCACCTAATTTTAAAATCATACTTCTTCCTGATTATGAAGTTTTAATTTCTCTTTTAGACCAAATGTAAAATGTTTGTTTTTCATCACATCTGCTTACCTTCTCTTGGTTTTACAACAAAGGTTTCAGTCAAAAACATGTCTATTTGTCCAGTTCGGAGGTATTGGAGGAGATTTCCTCACAGATGAGATCACGCCCGAGCTGATGCGCAAGAACATGACTGAGGCCGAGTGGGCCAAGATCTACGACATGAACCGAGACAAGAAACTGTTTCATAACCTGGTAAACAGTCTGTTCCCCTCCATCCACGGCAACGACCAGATCAAGAAAGGTTAGACACAGCTGATGGTTGAAATAAACCAAACTACTGTAGACTCTTCCCTTTCAATGCATAGGTGGTCCTCTTAACCATCCAAAGTTTGAACAAAACAGATCAAAATGAGAGAAAGGCCTATGTTTCTAACTTTAAGTCATCCCCTATTACTAAAAATAAGGTAAAGTTATGATAACTTGTTAACATATAAAGATCAGAATATATAAGACAACTGGAATGTCAGTAACTTTAAAACATGAACACAAAATAATACTCCTCACTTCAATATATTTCATTAAGTGTGCTTATCTACATTTCAGGAATCATTCTGATGTTGTTTGGTGGAGTTCCCAAGACGACCATGGAAGGCACGACTCTCCGAGGGGACCTCAACTGCTGCATCGTGGGCGACCCTAGCACTGCCAAGTCTCAGTTCTTGAAACAGGTTAGTCACAATACTGTGATTGTTATACATCGCTATCTATTGTGTTTTTGAGAATTTCTTTTGTAAAATGATGTTTGGGTGTACACTTCCCCCTTGATCTGGGGTAAGTGTACACCCCTCCCCCCTTATTGTAGCTTTCCACTGCATATTACTTGATGTTGGGGTAAGTGGAGTATAGAGGGGAAAATAAGCTTTCTTTCGTATTTTTTTCTAAAGAAAATAAAAATCTTATAATTCCCCTATTTCATTGAATTAACAATTACTAAGTCCCAAAGAGCAGAAAATGAGCTTTATTTTGGTTTTTAGTAAATAAAATATCTTAATTTATAGTACTTAAGACTTAAACTCGTAAACTTAGTAGTCAAGAGTTTTTTCGTAAACCTCCGCTCGGTGAAGTTAGTTAAAACCTTAATATTTTAAATTGTAATTGACTTAGGCCCTGAATGTTCCTATATTAAACCTTAAAAGAACTAAATTTACTAAGTAAATTGATCTAATTTTTCAGTTATTGAGGGGGGCGTACACTTAACCCTAACGTGTTTTCACACAGGGTAAGTGTATGCCCCCCCCCCCCCTAACTCCCCAAAATTGACTTTTAGGGCTATAACAATGTTATTTTTTAATTCTCTTAAAAAAATATTAGTAAGATCACTACATTTCTGTTAATTATCCTTGTATTTAAATTTTAGTAATTTTTTTAATTTTCCGAGCGGCACTTGTGTTTTGAGTAGAAACGTAAGAGGTTCTTAAACACGTCTAAACTCATAGAAATCATAGCAAGAGAATTTTTTAGTGATTATTTATAATTTAAAAGTGCATAGTTTGAAATACCTTTGGCCAAGTTTTCATATTTTTTGGTTCATAAACAAATTTATTATTACTGTAGCTGGAAGTGCACTTGCCCCGGGCGTACACTTACCCCACTTGACCTTACTTAGATAGATAGATATTGCAGCTTAAGATAGACATCATCTCATTTCATTCAAATAAACCTTCTGGTCTTCCTCCTGAAGGATCTCCCTTGAAGGGCCAAATATCAATTTAATTAACACTTTGTTATCATTTTTATCTGGTGAAAAATTGAAAATGATTTTAAATAAAGTGAAACAAGAGTTTTTTTTTTTACCTGCCTTGACTATAGTTACACAAACAATAACATAGTTAACTGTATACAGGTAGCAGAGATGAGTCCACGAGCTGTGTACACATCTGGCAAGGCGTCATCTGCAGCAGGTCTCACTGCTGCGGTGGTCAAGGATGAAGAGTCATTTGACTTTGTGATCGAAGCTGGAGCTCTCATGTTGGCTGACAACGGAGTGTGTTGTATTGATGAGTTTGACAAGATGGATCCTCGCGACCAGGTAGCCATCCACGAGGCCATGGAACAGCAGACGATATCCATTGCCAAGGTACAGTCTACTACTTTCATGATAGCAATATTTAATCTGAATATTTAATGATAAGCACCAGATTTGAAGATTTTTGTTATGATATACAATACAATATTCTTTATTGTTAATTCGTCAAGAATTACAATAGTGTCAATACAATAGTGAATTGTACATATTAATTTTCATAAAATTCCTTTATTGAGTAGAAGGGTCTTGCTATTAGCCACTTCTTCAACTCCTGGTGTAGCTTGTTGCCAGTCAGGTCTCTCAGGTAGTCAGGTAGATGGTTCCTCAGCTTGCAGCCGGTGTAGGAAGGTTTTTTCTCCCAAAGAGTTGTTCGGTGAACTGGTAGTGCAAATTTGGAGCCATGACGGGTGTTGTAGTGGTGCAGGTCTTGGTTTCTTGGGGGGTTTATTTCATTCACATACTTTATGGTTTCAAGTATGTAGAGAGACACCACTGTGAGGATTCCTAGGTTTGCGAATGCTAGTCTGCAAGTCTGTGGTGGGACAAGGTTGGCGAGGGCTCTTATGGCTTTCTTTTGAAGGACAAGAATTCGATTCATATTTTTTGTTGAAGTTCCTCCCCACACTGTCAAGCCATATCTAAGATGCGACTCTACCAGTGCGAAGTAAGCTGTTTTGGCCACGGAGAGTCCGCCTATGTAGTTTATTCTTCTGACGACATGTATTCCAGTACTGATTTTTTTGCTTAAGTGGTTGATGTGCTCTTTCCATGTTAGTTTGTTATCAAGGATAACACCGAGAAATTTTCACCGTATATTAACACCGTATATAATATCAATCAGGCTTACTGAAATAGTTATGAATCCGTCCAGAAACAAGAAACACAACTAGATATGCATACTATACTAAAAAATTTCAATATTTCACTGTCAGAGACAGCATTTTGGAGAAGCAAAGAAATTTCAAATTGGAAAGAAATGCCAATTGGTCTTCTGGTAGCCCTGTCTTGCTTGTCTTCCTGGAAATTTTCCAAATTGATCCTGAAGACATAATTTTCTGACCTTTCCCAGTTGAAAATGCTGTCAGTGCCACTGAAATATTATCATTATGAGTACAGCGTTGAGTTCTTTTTTCTTATGCTAGAGTTGACTTTTCCGTTTAGGTAAGCCTGCTTTTTTGAACCTCAGAAATGTCAGTTCTTATATATGGCAATCTTACACTAGTTATAATTTTTAAATTAACCATTAGCGATCGGAATGAATATTTGCCCCTATTCCTCAGCGGTCACGCAGTCTGTGGTGCAGGCCAACGCTCGGGCGTCCAGTAGTATCCAGTCCAAACAATGTTTTTGTTTGTAATATTCTAAACCTTGGTATGATACCTGTATATAATGCTGCAACCTACAATCAGCAGGCTTGCAACATTATAACGTATACATTATGGTGGAAACAAAAACAAATACAATATTCGATATGTATATTTTTTATTAATTTTTTTTATTAAACATTTGCCAGTATAAAATTACAATTGTTTTATTACAATTTGAATCACCTATGCTAACATTGCAGCTTTTCAGTGAAAACAAATATTTGCTGCTGCGAGCGTGCTGCCTTGAAGGTGAACAGAAGTGGCCAGAGCTGGCCATCCAACCGTCGGAACCAAGTTAGTATGGGTAGGATTCAGACTGGTTGCCGACTGCATAGTGGCCACTCCTGCTGGCCTTCCGATCGCAAATGGTTAAATTGATAGTGAAATTTAAATCTTAGTTCACCCTGACAAAAATAACTACAATTCAAGTTCATTGTAAATTATGGTAAAATAAAATTTGATTGGTTGTGTAGGCTGGAGTGAGAGCTACATTAAATGCTCGTACGTCTATACTGGCCGCGGCCAACCCCATTGGCGGCCGCTACGATCGCTCCAAGTCTCTGCAGCAGAACATTCAGTTGTCCGCTCCAATCATGTCACGATTTGATCTCTTCTTTGTACTGATTGATGAATGCAATGAGGTTTGTGAAATATCTCTGACATTGTGTAACAGCGTATTCCCTATTTGGAAAATTAGCTAAAAATTACATTATGTAAATTTATTTAAACGCTGATAAACATAAACTTTATTTGGAGTTTTATAAATCTGCCTTAATAAATCAGTAAAGGATAGGTATTCCAAACCAAGGATATTGACATTGTAGTAGGAACCCTCCTACATAAAAACATTAGACAGAGTTGTCTAGAATCAGCAACTTACCAACATTTTTTATTTAATTTTGCTTAAGACAAAGCTAAGAACGAGAAGCTACCCCTACTTTATTTTACTTATTTGGCTACTGTAACCGAAGCATGTTTTTGGCCAAAATGTGTTTCTTCCTATTCTATCCTTGGCTATTTCAAGTGTGTTCTCTGTTGTAGTAATATCTTTCAACTCCTGACTCCACTCAGTTACTCAGCCTCATTTTATTTGATCATTTCTTTTACAACCAGCCCTGCATACCTGTTGTTATATTCATATTGATTGCAGGTCGTAGACTATGCCATTGCTCGAAGGATTGTTTCGTTGCACAACAATACCGAAGATGTTGTGGAGAGAGTGTATTCACAAGAAGAAGTTTTGCGGTACATTGCATTCGCTCGGCAATTCAAACCTATCATAAGTGAGGTATGATTATAAAATCAGTATGATATTATCTGAAGGAAACAAATATTCTAATAAAAAAAATTACTAGTAATAATTAATAGGTGATGAAATACTTTGCTAATTATAGTTTGCTATATGTATTCTTGATGGCCTCACATGGATTTAAGAATGGGATTACAGAAAAATAATAGATTTTTTTTAATGCTTATTTTATTGGATTTTTCTATTTTATATCACCACTTCCTTTCTGCAATTCTCTAAAACAGTTCTGTGTATGGTAATATTTCCCCAACTTGTGTATGGTTTTATTTGTGAGATCAAAAAAGAACTAACAATTACTTAAGACATCTGTGGTCCACCTCTTGTACACTAACGACATTTCCTTCCTTAGGTATTGTAATTTTTGTGTTTTTACACCATTTAGGAAGAAGGAAGTTAAGACTGCCTCTCTACGATACCAACATCTCAATGTCTACACTTGCAAGTTCATATTAGGTACTGAAGGTATTTTACATCTTGAATAATTTTTTGTCACATCTATATACCCTGTTACGCCTCTAGGAAGCCGCTAATCTGTTGGTAGAGGTGTACACTCAGCTGCGACAGAGAGACGCCACAGCCAGCAGCAAGTCCACGTGGCGCATCACTGTGAGACAGCTGGAGAGTCTCATACGACTGTCCGAGGCCATGGCCAAGATGGAGTGCTTAGATGAGGTCTGTTTGTGTTTGTTATTTAATAGTTGAGATGGGTCACTTTTCTACGTCGGTTGTCAGTTTTACCGGTTTTTAGCAAATAAAACTGATACTGAGAATTTATGAGAAATGTCAGTATGGAATTATCGGTTACCACACTATAATTTTGCTGAGATTTTGGGAGACGATAATGATATCTTTACAATCGCCGGGGACTTTCAAGATTTTGCCGCTATTGTGGTAGACAATGGTAGTGTCTTCATGATGCAGGGGATGTTCTAAATTTCTCTGTGATAGAGGGAGATGATCAGAATTCTGCCGTGATTATTATGACAATGCACATTACACCATATATGTGTTTCCTGGCACTAAAGCTAATGCTGATTTTCTACTGGCAACCATACATGACATGCAATAACAATAACACAATACATAGTTATAATGAGTGTCTAGGAATAACTAAATTTTATTTTTGCTCAAAGTGTTGGTTCATTAATTTTTCATCAGTTATTAGGAAATCAGTCTAACTCAATTTCTTCCTGTAATAATCCCTTTTACAACAAAAATTGTTGTAAGCTCTCATCATTTTCTCTATACTTGACTATGTCCCCAGGGGACAAAATATTGTGTGTTCAGTTCCTCTTCTGTTGTTATATGACCTACCTGCAAGGTAAGCTAGCTGCTATCCTCTTAACTCTACAATTCAATATAAAGAGGTTAACTTACCTTACGTCGTCAATCCTAGTCTATGGCAAATAGTTTCTAAACATCAAGGTTTCATTGTCGAGCCTCCTGCCCCTTTAAAATATTGGGACATCTTGTCGTCGTCATTACACAATAGTACATTTAACATATAAACACCAACACGGACACAAACTATTTACAAAAATGAATGTGCGGCCGGCCATAAGTACATAGACAAAAACTATATAGAAGTTAGGCCTACTAGCTGAACTGAGTAGGAAACACAATAAATATAAATAAACAGATAATCCATGACCTTGGGTGCTCAAGACATATTTGCAACTTTGCACCTGTATGCTGTGGGAAATCATCTTTTAATATTAAGGGGCCGATAAACCTAGGACCGGTAATACAGATGTCAGATATGAGGGATTCTACTGTATTTTTTGTGATTAGCTAGTCGTGTTTTGTAATACAACTAATGTTCTAAGTTTAAATTGCACCAAATTTGCTATTTCAATTTTTGTGAAATATTTCTGTTACATATGTACTCCCACCAATTTTTCTACATAGATCAGTGCAATCAAGAATGCTGATTAATTTTGTTTGTCATTATTACTAGAGATTTTCAAAACAAACGTTTGTTGCACTAAAGAAAAATCCAGTCTCGTTCTTGTTCCAAAAAATACAAAAAAAAATATATAAATCCCGTTCATCTGTACTTTCCTTTATACGCATTTGTCAACTGGAAACGGATTTCATTAGCTTTTGACCTCGGAATGCAATCAGGAGTTCTTAATTACTAACAGCCCAAGTACAGTGGTTCATGACAGGTTTTCTATATTGCAGGTGTTAGCAAGGCATGTTGCCGAGGCGTACAAACTCCTCAACTGTTCTATCATCCGAGTGGAGCAACCTGACGTCTACTTGGACGAACAAGAAGAAGAAGTAGAACAGGTGGAGGACCAAGGTCAGTTGATTGTTCACTTTTATACTACTTCCACGAAGGAAGTTAAAATAGTTTTGAATGAAAATAACTGTAAGAGGGACCCATTTAGCTGAGCAGTGCACGAAACCTGTTGCTAATTTTGTTACAATTGGAGGAATATAATTCCTCATGTATTTAGTAATTGAAGTAATTTAACCCTTTGTGTTCGAATGGCGAGTATAGGTCGCTTCGCTGGGTGCCATTTTCCCGACTGCTCGAATGGCAAACTATACTGGCCGAAAAAGGAAAAATTTGACCTCAAAGGGTTAACTCGTTGTAAGTTCATGGCCTAAGACACTAGTAGTCTTAGTCAGTAAAGCTATTCAAAACATTAAACCCATCCCTTCCTCATCCTTCATCCATATTTAGTTTAAAATGTGTCTAGCTATGTCCCTATTTTAAATTATTGTAATAAGATGTTTAAGGAAATTGGCAGAAAGGAACTTTAAAAACCCATTAACATGTTACTATAGAATGTAACCATGTTACTGTTTGCATACAGAGATGGCAGATGTAGACGAGCCGATGCCAGCTGAGCCGTCACAGCCTAAGAAGAAACTGAAGCTCTCGTTTGAAGAGTACAAGTCAATATCTAATATGCTTGTTGTCTTCTTGAGGAATGAAGAAGACAAAGGTATGCTTTTATGGGATCTATAAGTCTTTAAATGAAAAACTAACTTTTGCAAAAGTTTCTTACAGGATGCCTAAGTTGGTTATTGAATTCTCAGAAACATTTTAAAATTTCCTATTTACCAACAACATTTTACTGTCAAATTTAATGTTTTTAGGAGACACAAAAACACCATTACACCATTGCACTGCTTAATCGCTTAATCAACAATTGAACCAACACTACACATTTTCTATCTGGTATAAACTGGGTATCCAGCCGACTGGCAATAGTAAGAAAACTTTGATAATCCAGAAATAGAAATATAATTTCTCTAAAAGTTGCCTCAGCCTATGACAGAGCGTCCATTTATTCATAACTTTACATCTCATAATTTTATTTTATTTTTATAAAGTTTGCTGTTTGGTAAGATCATCAACTGAGCCAATACCGTACTCATTTCGATTAGCTAAAAGAGAATATAAGTCATGTAAAAGCATTGTGGTGTGAGTAGCCTCCGGATTGTGAATAATAACTATGATAGTGGTTTAAATACCTTATTATTGCAATCCTATTGTTGTCTTCACAACTAGTTTCAACCTGCTAGGAGGTCATCATCAGTACTTACTTATAAGTAATTCATCCTTGTACTCACCTGATGATGACCTCCTAGCAGGTTGAAACTAGTTGTGAAGACAACAATAGGATTGCAAGAATAAGGTATTTAAACCACTATCATAGTCATGTAAAAGAATCACTTTATGTTTTTGTCTCTTTGACTAGCAAACATTTTTTAAATGCTTTTTGCTGGCCTTAAATGACTATTGACTGTTTATTCTTCTCAACAATCTCAACCTTATCTTTCAACCACTAAATCTGACTTTCTCCTCTTTTACCTCCCTTTATGATTGTTCTGTCTCATTAGCCATTTAAGAAGTCTTATTATTTATGTTTTCAGCTGATTCAGATGGAGCTCGTCGCAGTGACGTTGTCAACTGGTATCTGGAGAAAATATCTGATCAGATTGACACAGAGGAAGAGCTTGTTGAGAAGAAAGCATTAATTGAGAAAATTCTTGATCGATTGATTTTCCATGTAAGTTTGTATTTCTGTGCCTCAACATATTTGCCCAGCTTATAACCTACTTAATAATAGGGACATGTCAATTCTTGATACCAAAGATACCTGGACATTGCTATCGGTATTGAAAACAAGATTTAGAAAAAGTACAGATTGCTGATAGAACACACAGAAGACACAGACATTTTCTGTCATTCCTTAGTGTTCATTACTCAAAATGCACTTTTTGTAAGGTAAACTGCTGATATCCGCTTATTCTACAAATCAAAATCTTGGTCCATCTATATAAATAAAATTAGAGTTTTGTCTGTACATTGCTCAGAATTATATATTTTTAGGTTATTTTTACGTCTTTAAACTGCTGATATCCGCTTATTCTACAAATCAAAATCTTGGTCTATCTATATAAATAAAATTAGAGTTTTGTCTGTACATTGCTCAGAATTATATATTTTTAGGTTATTAATATTCAATATTGTAATGGTCACAGGAAATTCATTATAAATTTTTACTGTACCGTCCAGTAATTTTTACTGAATTTAAATTTTTTGTCATTGTAAATCAATACTCCTGTTACAAACACTTGACTAAGTTGTTATAAGTTAAAGTATTTTCTTTTGAATATTGGATGTAAAAGGTCCTTAAATATATGATCTAAATTAAGGAGTTGGGTGTAAAAAAGTTTACAGTAAACTCAAGTTCAGATGTTCAGATATATGGGTGTCTCTAAACACAAAACATTTTTTTAAAGTTTGCATTGATCATTATCAGTGTTTTATATATATATATATGCTAAATATATATTTTTTTATCAAGTAACATTTTTAACCTCAGTCACTCAACAACTGTTAGTGTTTTATTATAGAGTAATTACAACTGCATTTAAAAGTTAAAATGCAGCTTAGGTGAGTCCCTATTTAAAATTTATTTATACTGTATAAGTTAAGTGTTCTTGGAACAACAATATTATCTACTGAAATGTTATTAGGACCAAGTGATCATTCCGCTGACCAGCAGATCAGGGAAAGGGGAGGAAGCAGAAGACGAAGATCCGCTATTAGTTGTTCACCCGAACTATGTTGTAGATGGGTAGCTTTTCCTATTATCTGTAAATTACTAACTGTAAGTTTGCTTTAAGAATCCATTACCGTATACTTTCCTGTAAATAAACATAATTTTACTAATACTTTGTTTATTTTCCTTGAGAACAGTAGTTATGTCAAGGTCTCAATAACTATGTTTACCTAACCCGCCATGTTAAACTTCCCTATCCCAAACGTGATGTATACAGCTTCCTTACTTCTCGAGTGATGTAAAGTTGAAAAAACTCACTCGGTGAGGTAATGAAACCCATTTAAATAACATTGAGTGCTTAACTTAAAAAACATAGCTCTATGGAGCCAACGACCAACGCTATAAATCAGCTGTGCGCTTGAATTTTATTGTTATGCTTTGAAGAATTTTTCTAACCTAGCTTTTGTTTGTAAATGAACGTTTCTATTAGAAGATGAGTGAAATGGATAGTGAAAAATATAGTTCGTAACCTCCTGTATATTGTCGGGTCAGGTAAAATCTTGTATGTTACACGTTACGCAAGTGCGTGATGTAAAAACGCTCTTACTACAGTTGTAAGGTAAATAGCTATTAAACGTTGTTTGCAAATATGGTGAAAGTCAACACATTTCCTACAAATATAAATCTTGTTTGGTATGAATTCCCAAAGAGGCTACTACTTAATTAAAAACAGTGTACATACACAGTATAGCATAGTATGTGATAGTGGACTAAAAAGGTTACATTTTAAAGGAAGTTAAGTGGCCTTAATTTGAACCTACTCTCCCATATTAGAACTAAAGTAACAGTCTTATGTTTTGTGGCCTTTGTTGATATCTATGTAACCCTAGATTAAAATCGTCTCAGGTAAACTTGCTGAACTCTATTCCTTATGAAATAATTCCTACTGTATGAACAAATCCGCGTGAGAGCATTAGTGACAATATTGTGCACTCGTATAGTAGTCGTTCCACCATGTCAATTTCAAATCTTATTCCCTTGATTTTTTGACATGTTAAAAAATAAAGAAAATTTACTTTTAACTACAATAGGATAAGTTTAATGTCCTCTAATATAAAATGGAAGCTCTTACTAAATTGCATTTGGCTGCGCTTTGGCGATTTAAAGGATGGCTAAATATTCATACATCAGTCAAAGGTGGTTAGTTCACATTTGTATGAAGCTCTCAAAGAATGAATTTTAGTCATCACAAATATATCGTAACTGTCAGGAAACACTTTGCTTATCCATTTCTAAAATTTGACTATCAATATGTAACGAGTTATTTTTCCTAGGGGGGTAAATATTTGCTATTTGGCCGCGCACCGATTGTTGAGGTAGGCAAGCGGCGGCGGCGAACCTGGCTAGCGCCCTTTGACCCGGCTTATCAGTGCCGATAAGCCTGGGATATCCTAGTTTCTCAGGATAGCCTAGGACAGACATTCGAGTCGTGGATCCCAGTCAGTGAGGATAGCGTGTGTCTAGTGAGACGTCCAGTGGTGTACGTAGAGAGGAGTGCTTTGGTGACATCGGTGTGATTATTGGTGCTCAAGGCGTGTTGGTGTCAAGTTGGGTAGTGAGTCAGTAACCCACTTGTGGTGAGTGGACGACTTGATATTATTAGTTTGATAATATTAATATCTGATTTATTTGCGAGAGTTAGAGTTGTAACCGTGCTGGTCAAAGCCTGACGGTAGTTAGGATTTATATTAGTCAGGAATAATATTGAAGTGTATTCCTGACGGTTCTGGGCGGGTGCTAGAGCGCAAATAATATAATTTAATTGCCTGTAGAAGATATTATTTTGCGTTGTACCTAGAGTTAGTTATATTACTAATAACTCTGAGGCCCGACAAACCTAGGCTGCACGATTTAGCGTGCGTAGTTGGAAGCACGAGGCCAGTAGGCTAGTAGCTAGTTTTATTAGCCTATTAACAGAAGCCCGGCTAAGCAATATAACGTTGATATAGTAGCAGTAGTGGTAGTAGCAGTAGGGTTGGTATTGATTAATCATTTAATTATTTTAATTTAACCTGAACAGCTTGCTTAGTAATCCAACACGTTATCTTGGTAGCTTGGATAGCGGAGTACCGGCTATCAGATAATATATTTATCTAGTGTTTGGAACGTAGTTAATATTTATTTATCTGCTACTAAGTAGCTCAATATTTAAATAGTGCAATTGCCATTTAATTTTGCTTGTTTGGCTTGGTATTTATCGAGACCAGCTACTAGTGGTGTAGTCACTCTACCTATAGTGTACTTGTATATTATTATGTGGTACGATTATTGAGTGAACTGTTTGATTCTTAGCTTGGGCATTAGAGTTGTGTATTGGATTATAGTGGCCTAGTAGACCCCGCCTGGTGATAACACGCGTTGTGGTTTTTATTGGCAAGTCGTCGTGTAACTCACCGTGTTTTAGGCACTCTGGGCTTAACTATTGGATAGTTAGGACGAAGCCCGAGTTGCGTAGTCAGCAACGACCCCCTAGGAGTGTGGAGAATCGGCGTAGGTCTGGTAGTGATTATTGCACGTTTGTTGTGGTGACTTGTTTTTGACTTGTTCACAGTGCCCGTGTATGAGCCAGTCCTATACCGGTTAGACCCGGCTTTTGGCCTAGTGGTTTCCCTGACCTTATCGCAGACCCTGGAACTTTACCCAGCCATTGTAGGCTGAGCTATCCCCGGCAAACGGTTGCGACGACTGCACTTTTAATATTTTTTTTCCAGTGCAGAAAATCTCGTCGCAAGATGGCGCCTGCGAACAGGGACTGAGGTTGGCAGTGGTGCTGAGTTGCTGACGTATTAACGGCGCCCGAACAAAATAATTTTATTTGTGCAGATTTGCTGCGTACTTGTGCAGATTGGCTGCGGACCTGAGCTGTTGAGCAGAGTTTTAGGCAGACCTGCTGTGATTTTATAGTCGGTTGGGTAGGCCTAACCTGTTTTCTGTTACAGCGTGGTGTGTTGTGAACCCTAATTTATTTAGTGGTTGTATACATAGATATTAGTTAGTAATTTTAACTTTGCTAATTAATTGATCCTTATCATTGAATATTATTTGAGTGAGAACCCTTATTGTGTATTTGTGGTTTGGCTTTCACACCCATAATTGGTTTGATTTATTATTTTGCTAATTAATTGGGCTTTATCATTGAATATTATTTGAGTGAGAACCCTTACTGTGTATTTGTGGTTTGACTTTCACACCTATAATTGGTTTGATTTATTATAACGGTGTTAAATATATTTTAATTGGTTTCGCCCTTATTTTTGCGGATTTGTCGTGGTGTTTTGAATTTTAAATATGGTTGTCACTACGAGTACGACGTCTGTGCTGGGCGGTACGCCTATTACGTCTGCTATTACTACGACTAGTTCTGGGGTTAGCTCCGAACTGTCGGTGATGACGACATCGTCATTGTGGCCGGCGTCTTCGCTCGTTTGGCCGACTATTTCATCGGTCGTGGCTACGACGGTGACAACTTCTTTGACCTATTCCGCGCCAGCGACTATGTCCTTGGGGTCGCAGCCCCGGGACGGTCGCGTGGGTTGGATCTATGACCTCTCGAAGGGGGAGCTCATGAGAACGATGGACCAGTATGGTTTGGTGACCACTGGTACTTCTGCGGAATTACGGCAGCGATTCTCGTCGTTTTGGAAGCAGCGGAATGCCCGTCGGTACAGCGATGATAGGCTGTGTACGGCTGGGGCTGCTGCACCGACATTTTTACCGCTGGCTACTACAACTGTGGAGCTTCCTGACCCCCCGAGAACCGTACCTCAGGTACTGGGTAGCACTGAGTCGGACCAAAGACAGATATTCGGACTTAGCGGGGAGTTAGAGGCGGTTAAAGAGATCCTTGGGTTGTCTTCGGAGACCGATACCCGGACTCTTAGAGAACATCTGGCATCGGTGGTGCGGCAGGCGAGGGGCTCGCCGAGTATTGGGGTCGGCTATGGGTTCGGAAGACCCGCCAACCCTACGTCCCCTGTTGTGGCTGTTCCCACGCCTACCTTTGGGTTACCAAGTAGACCCGAGGGATGGCAGCGACCTAACGATCATTCAGAGAGACCAGTCCGTCCTTCTAGCTTGGAGGTGCCACGAGGCTCGGATATGCTTTTGAATGAGGCCAGCAGGGTGGAGCCGAAGGATTGCTCCAAGATATGTGACATGGTCCGAAAGTGGGGTTTGAGGTTTGATGGCCGACGAGACCCTGTGTCATTCCTTGAGCGCCTAGAAGAGCTGATGGTGTCCTACTCCGTATCATCAGAGGACCTGCTCAGAGCGCTGCCGGAGCTGCTGCAAGGCTCAGCGCTCCTATGGTACAGGAATTGTAAGGAGCTCCTGTATTCATTCGAAGCTTTCCGGCATCAGTTTGAAATCCAGTTCTTCCCACCGGGATATTGGAGGAACTTGGATGAGGAGATCCGGAAAAGGACACAGGGTGAAGGCGAACACTTTAGAGACTACGTCGTTGCCATAAGTACCTTGCTTAGGCGTAGCGGGACGTTGTCAGAGCATGGTAGATTGGACTTGATTTACAACAATATGCGTCCTGAGTACAAGCTGATGGTACGCCGGCGTGACTTCAGCAACCTGGCCGAGATGGTGGAGTTGGCTGAAGACTATGAGGCTTATCTGCGAGAGAAGGCGGCCTTTCGACCTCCTCCTTCTCCGAACTTAGCGCTGGTTTCGGAAACCGCCTACGCACCCAAAAAGAAGGTGGAGAAGCGCTCCGAAACTGTCTCAGTCGAGAAGCGGAGTTTCGAGAGACCATCTCCGGAAGACAAGTCGCTTGGGCGTGTAGCTTTGAATCGGGTTCACGGTCAACGGCCCGCGACAGCAGCTAGAGCGTCTGAGGGTCCAAAGGGGACGGTGAAATGTTTTAGGTGCCAGGAGATTGGTCACTTTGCCCGAGAATGTGGTAAGCCAAGGACCGTCTCCTGTTACGGATGTGGCAAACCTGGTTTGACGGTGATTCAGTGTGGATGTCGGGCGGGAAACGGCAGGCCAGCTCAGACATCAGGAGGTCAACTGGGCGAGGCCACCCAAAACGAAGGACCTCAGAAGAGTGGTCCGAGTGGCTCGGAAAACTAAACAGCCTGGTTGGTGGAGTAGACGAGAACC